ATTCGAAATTATCATAATTGCACTTTATATCTAGCATTAAATGTGTTCAGTTAAGGGTTGCCAAATATGAAATCTGAAATCAATTTAGTAGACTCAAATAAAATCCTATCAGACAGAGACAGAAAAAATAATTACCACAAACATTTTTTTCATCACACGTCTGTACTAATATTCCAAAGCTGAAGAGTTTGTTTGATTGGTGACCGAAATGGTTCTAATTATAAAAAAAGTTTAGAGTTGGATAGCTCATTTATCGAGATAAACTATAGGCTATATAACATCACGAGCCGAGCATCAATGAAAAACGTTGCGAAAATAGAGAAATTTATTCCCTTTCATTGAAAGACGCAGACCATCTTTGGCGGGTCAGCTGGTGTGTTAGTAATTATAATGCCACAAGAACACACAAATTTAAATTTGGTTTTGAATATATTTTGGCCAAATACATGATGGAATTGTGTATTGGGGATAATGATGAGCACCACAAATAATTTATTGGAATGTATGAGAAAAAAAACCTGAAATTAAACAGTAAGCTATTGAATGAGACGATGAAACATCACAAAATGATAAGATTTTTGGTTGATCTGAGGGCCAAGTGCGAGTTATTTGTAGCGCTGTCACGTTGTACTCACGCGATTTTTTTGGGGGCTTCATATATTGCTAATTTGTTGTTAGATAGTTGTATACCTGATACTATGCTTGAACAGATTCAGATATGGAGTCTTTGCTAACAAATAATATGTCATCGTACTTAGGGTTGTCAGAATTGAAATGCCGAAATATTATATTATATTATTTATATTGCCTACGGTTTGCTACACACTACGATTCTCTTCTTCATTAGGAGACTCAATCAATCATAAAGTTCGTAAAAATAGCTTAAAACAGGAACTACAAAATTTGAAATTATAACCCCTTACTCTAATAAGCGAGCAGGTGGAAACTGCACCTCCGCTTTTCCTGTGGAACTACAGGGCGTCCGTCTTATGAAGTGCAACCCGTAGACCCAGTCCGCTGGTATTTTGGACCATATTTTGGACCCCTAACATGGCGAGCTCCAGGACCTACTGGAAGCCATAGAAGCCACTAGTCAGTCAATACTAGAGTGTCGTCCGCGTAGCAGACGTTTCATGTAACTTTGTAAAGTCCCCCGTGACACAGGATTTATTCCTAATGCGGGAGTTGTCTTTTTAATAATAATAAAAAAATACACGTTGACAGGTTATCCATAATATTATTCGAATATATCCGGATAAAGTTTAAAATATTCGCATGCGAAAAAATGCACGCCCTATCTGTGGTATCAACTTTATTTAGTAATAACTAAACGGGTCATTGTCTTTGGTCATCTCGATTATCAGTTTATTTTTGTTTATTCATTTTTAACTATCAATGTATTAATAACATATTGATAAAGCGACGCATGTTTATACATGTGTTCCATACCTAGGAATTTTAAAATACTGGAGACTGTTACGTCTTGAAAGTCATCTGTGTCAAAGCGGGGGTGTTAAACTAAAGTCTCGATAGGAGCAATAATCGTCTCAATATGAGCTCGAATCTTTGTGTAGCTCTTTATACAAGAAAATACACGTAAAATATCCATCTAGTTTAATTCGATCTCGATTGGATTCTGCCTCGAAGAAGCCACGGAACAATCCAGTTTAAAATTTCCGTCGAAAAATCGTTAATATTGAGATCTCTGCGAGAGAGAGATAAATAGAGCGGCTAGGGTAGATACCTTTATGCCTTACTTTAAAATTTGCTGTAAAATTGCCAAAATGTGGCATATGGAGGGGGAAGTCTGACAAGTAACACGTGACCAGCTGTGACTAGGAGTAAGGTTTCCGTGTATGATGCGTAATTATTACTTTCTACCTACTTTTTGAAGACGGAGCGATCCGGCTTATAATCAATAAATGGTGAAACTTTTAAAACACTTTTGATTAGCGTTCACTATTAGAAAGTTACATTATTGAAAAAAAAGTTTATGGACGCTCGACGCTAGAAGTATTTAGACATAGGCTTTATATCTATATATCATAGACTACATTTAACCCGCTATCTATACTGGACCAAAATTTACCCGAGTTAATTAGTTGTATTCTGTAGCACTCGGGCGAAATAGCAAGTAATATTAATGTATAAATATAAAGAAATTATGTGAAAACTGTAGTAATTATGAAACTCTAGTCTAAGTCTAGTCTAAACAGAACTCGACCGAATCCTGGAATTTTATTTTTACAATCATGGAAATAAAATTTCCATGATCATAAAATATTAACTTGTTTTTACTTTAATAGGCGTTAATTAATCATTTCATTAGCGTAAAATTTTAGCAGGTGCTTGAAACCGAAACCTAAACCTCAAAAAATAGATGTCACTGATTCAACTTTTTATATTCTATTTCGATATGAGTAATATAATATATTAACAGTAATTCAACGTAAAGGGCAGGTAACATGTCCTAATGACGTTTATCGTAGATAAGCCAATCTAAATCAATTCTCCAATACAACGATCGTTATCAGGCAATCACACCTATATTACTGCAGTTTAATAAAACAGCAGTGTACATTTCAGACATCGCTTCTTAAAATCTTGACTCTCAAATAGTTTTGTGATGTGAACCCATTTAAAAAAGAAAAATCTAACCATAGACTGCATGATGTTGTCATGAAACGCTTCAGAGAGCGACGAAAGTCTGCAACTTAATATTATTTCACAGACGACTGAACAAATACACGCAAATCATACCATGTCAGATTCTTCTCAATAATGTGGTATCTTTCATAGTATGTAATTACGTCCATTACACTAAAAGTGATGCAACTCCTGTCTTTTTCTTTCGGCGCGTGCGCACGTTACTTCACGTGCCATGGACGATTTGCTAGTGTTATATTAAAATGCATCGAATGCTCCGTTTCACTTTTATTAAACACGCATTGTATTGTACTGTAGAGCATATGAAATACGTTTTATTTAAAGGAACCGGTAATATTTTGGGATAATTCGCTAATAAATTAATTGGAAAATATCTTTAAAATAAACAATTTACTTGTTTATTATAGAATAAAAAAGTATAAAACTTAGTTTCTTTATGAAATTTGAACAGTTGGAGTTAATATAAACTTGGGAACGCTGTTGGAGAACCACTCGTAGGTGACAAATCCATTTCCACTTACATCAGGTAAAATATCAATATCATGTAAAATTACATTATTCTACTGATCGTGACGCCAATACTTAATATAAATATTATATAATACTTATTATTTTATTTGCTACCTCATTAAAGTAATTGCATTACCTAAAAGTATTGTATTTAAAATATTTTGACATTTTAAATAAGATATTTAAACTGAACATCTCAAATTACAGCATGATTTGTCCTCTATTATCAATTTCATAATTATATTTTTTAATATCCTCATATCAACTGTTATTGCTTCATTACAAAGTTTTTTTTTTTCAGAAAAGTTGCTACGTAAAGGTTTAGTACTTAACATTTCGTAATCTACCACAGTATCTATATCGCCTATCAGTAGAGCGTCCCCTCTGATCTTAGAAGTATGCTGTCACTGCGTATATGCCAACAGATAATCACTCATTGAAGGTTGTCAAAAAAGTAAATGAATATTTTGTTTCTTCCGAGGGCAATATGTTTGTAAAAAAATATTCTTAGTTCATCTTAATATAATCAATTTTAATACAATGAGAGAAAAACCGATTAATTTTCGTTAAGTGGTTTCGACCTTTTGTTGTGGCCTGTCAATATTTTCCCATCGTCATATAGGTTTGAATACTTTAATTTATTAGTCGAGAAAAGGTACCGGAATTACTCAATAATAAGTATTTTATGGGTTGCGATTAGATAACTAACCTAAAGTATGCATATGGGAAGTACCAGGAGAACTCTTCATCAATACTCCTGCATTGGAAATGGTAATGTATTGTAGTTTCCTAAAATTCGGTGGAATTTAGGGTGAAAAATTAGAGATGAAGAGTATTCTTTATTTGACGTCAATCTAGAATCACGGAACACGGAGACACGAAAGTCCTAATCTCGTTTACGAATTCGGTCATCGTGTGCAAACAGTGAGTTTAAGTGTTAGCCTAAATAACAATAACGATAATTTTAGTACAAGGTATGATTTTACTAAGTTTCGCAAGGTTTTAAAGCTGTAAATATCTTTACATAATATCTAAATTCTTTAAAAATCAGATCTACGACTTAATTATCCTAAGACTTCCTTTTTCTTCTGTGAGTCTTAAGTCTTCTCTTAAGTCTCGATGCTTAACTCCTTATAGTCAGTAGTATCCTTTTTTTTTGTTGATGGAGTATCAAATCCCTACGGATCTTCGGCTCCTTGGGAACACCATCGTGACGATGCAGGAGCCAGGAGTACGTGAAGTTTCCACTAAAAAACACTCGACGGCGGGCCTCAGGAGGAAAACTACTACTCTAGCGAGGACCGACGCGGACCGAGGCGAGCCGGATATTATTTACAGTACAATTATTTGTCGTCGACTATTTAAAAAAAGGCAACCCTACTCATATTTAAAATTTGGTTATCTTGTGTATAATAATATCAGTTTAAGTGTTAACCTTTATTACGATAATAGGACCTTTTCCGTGTGCACATTTTATTGATAAAAATGAAAATAGTTTTTATTCAAATATATCGGGGTATGTTGTCATTGATATCTTTTTTCAGTATATGTGGTGTGTGTAACGCCCCCAATTGAGTTGGAGAGACTGAGCATAAATATTGAAAAAATAACTATACTTAAGCAAACTTATGAGCAAAATTGGAAAAAGAATGTGAACAGACCATCTACGATTACCTCATGGTGTTTAGAGTGTTCCTAATCTAATAATAAATTTATTCAAACCCTAATAGATATAAGAAATATTACTAGTGTTTAATTATCTTAAAATTTTTACTACTACAGACTACACATAATTTTTCAAATTATCAAAAATCAAAGTTATCATGAGCAAAACATGTTACAGGAGGTCTAGCCGCCATAGGTTGGTATTACATAGCAGTAATTATTCCATATCAAATATGGCTGAAGTATAAATCATTAGTAAATAGCGGTCAACAATGCCTGCTCTAATAATCCCTACCATAAAACCCGCGGGTAGTAATTAAAAACACAAGTTTAGACATAATATAGCACAATCTATTTTTCCTTTTTTAATTTTAAATTATAGTTACGTATGAATGAATGTTTTGAACTTGATTACACTTACTGTCCGATAATAACATAATTGTAAACATCCCCGATATAAGGTTAATAATCTGGTTCGAAAATAATAAACCGTATATTAAACATTAAAATTATATATATTTACAGCAAAAATTGGGTTTTATAGTAAAGTCAATAAATACTGAATAGACGTTTTATGTAAAATTACAGATCCTTTGGAAAAATATATCTTAAAGCGATCAGTTGATTTAATTGATTGATCACAATTAAGACTTAAATAATAATAAAAAACTGAAGTTACTTTCACAATTTCTCCTTAATTTTGTAATCTAAATAACATAAGGAACAATTATATGCCAACTTTTAGCGCCTAGTTAAGAAGTGCACACAATACAATAACCATAAATCAATGTGTTAATTTTGTTGTTTGTGTATGAAATGTATAAGACAATGATTCATTACCTTATATACAACAATAAATTGGAAATACTAACTCACGTAAAACAATAGACAAAACAAAAGTCATCATGACTTAAGTCTAACGTCATCCAGTTAAAAAGTTTAGGCTTTTAGAACGTGTCATGCCATGACTTATGCGGCGTTCTATATAGCTCAAGTAACTTCCATATAAGTCAAGGAAGGGCTACGCTCGTAAACAGTAGAACAAAAAACGACATTTTCATGTCGAGAAACCAGGAGTGCTTATCTTCTGAGCTCTAGGAAAGATGTTCATGTAACTCCAGCTAGGATTAAGCTGAAGTACCATGTACTAATATGATGATGTATTTTTTTATGGCTCAAACGAGGAGCCGGTCCCCTGGTCCCGTTTGTTAATCTCATTTGATCGGTGAAATTAACAAAATAAATGCTTCGTTTCTTACGGTCATTGTATCATGGCTCATATGTGCTGCTGCATGGCTCTCTGGTTATTTTTGTGGGATTTGTTTCTTTTGGTTCGCTTTCCCCACGCCTGCGCTATCCATCGTAAAAATGTATGTACCTACACGATTCAAGGCACAGAAAAGACATTCCTTTTATTTAGAAGAGAAGCCTCCTAGTGAAACTTGAAATTGTGTTATTTGATTGTGGATGTATAATATCCAGCACCGGATTATAGAATGAAGTGAGTACTTCACATGTGATTTGCTTTAAGAGATACTTATCATCAGATTAACGGACAGTAGCCAAACTCCATGGGCTTCTCTCTTAAAGTTATATTATACATATTGGCAAATTGCCTAACCTAGCATTGTATTTGCGATCGATCCACACATTGAAGGAATCTTCTGCCTATGGTTTTTAATCCTTTTTGTGATGTAGTCTACGAATGAGCTCCGAAACCTCCTTATGACTTTCGAGATATACTCGTAACTCTAATTGTACTATACTCATAACAGACTAGTGAAACTAGATAGGTAACTACATGGTGTAGGAACAGTAAATTTAGTATAGGTTTCTATAATCATTGTTCAATTTTTATGCATTAAGCTAAAAAGTTTGACTATAGAACTATCTGCTATTGAATATTTTTTTCAAGATCAATTCTTTATACTCTATTACCCTTATCTTTGTTATCTTTATATTTGTTTCTATTCACATTTCTTTGTTCCTCTGGTACAATACTTTTTCTGAATATAAGGTACTATAGCGTGTTCTGTGCCCCAGGCAGCGTATATGCATAAGTTTATTATAATCAAAAGAGTTGTTCAGACCTGAACAAACAAACAAGAAGTCACTTTCGCATTTATATTATTACTAAGGATTTCTGTTGATATGATGTACGAGCATTTACAGCGTATTTAAGTATTGTAATAGTCCCTTAAATAAATATTATTTAAATATACATTTATAATGCCTAATGGCACTTAAAATTTGTTTTTTTTTTTGTAATTACGTAGCTTTTGCTTACGTAATCACTTCGATAATTTTGGGAACCTTTTCTAAATGAAATATTAATCTCTAAAATTGTGTAAAGATAATTACAAGATGGTCGATTACGTATTTAAAAGTCGTGCTGGAAACAAAGAACCAAATTCACATTTTCATTTCTCATTTAGCTGGAGTTTCACGAATACCTCTTGATTAGCTCAGAGGATAAGCACGCGGCACGCCTAGTTTCCCGATATCAACGGTGTAGAAATGTGTTGATTGTCGAGATATCCATTCTCTTGACGAGGTAACGTAAAGTTGTAAGTCACTAAACATATAAAAGAAAAACAAACGTAAAATAATACTACTAACTGTTTATATTACTCGTAATTACTATTAATTTCAAAAGAAAAGAGCATACTCCCATCTCAAAAGCCTCAAAATCGGCGGTATTCACCGGGTTTGCTCATTTGCCATCATTCAAAGAAACAAATATCTTTTTCAGACATTACATTATGCAATTGATATCAATTATATCAATTGACCGAACTGTTTATAGACGATGTTCTCATTCAGAAATAAGTGCAAGCGTTAATGATGCAGCAATATTGTGATATTATTCACTTAGCGGTTTAGTTGATGTTAGTGACTTCTATACCTGAGCAGAAAATTACTTGATACACGAGACTCAAGACTTCATATAATTACGCTCCGTTCGACTCCAACTTAACGTGTTATCATTCAACGTTGTTCCACCGCCTCGACTGCGCGTGTGCATCAAAAGTCTTCAACTTTTTTCGTCTTATATTTATATAAAACTGTTCTTACAGTATTTTTTTAATATAAGGCCAGTGTTTTGTGCTAGTGAGCTGCTCGATTTGATTTATTTAAATCGTAAGTAATTTTTTTAATTTAGTTTTAGTATCATAAATGTGTAGAAATTTGATTATTTTATTTTGTGGTTATTATAAACGTTCTTAATGTGATTGAATTATGACAAACGTAATTTTTTTTTTAATATATATATTTAAAAAGTCGAAATTAAAAGGCAACCAGGTGAAAAAAAAAATATCACTAAAATTTTTTCGAATATAGCGCTATTTTTTTTTAATGGAACAGATTTAATGCATCGTGAAATCATAGTATGAAAAACCGTGAAGGTAATATTTTTAATCATTAAATAAAGTATACATTTTTCTCTAATACAATGTAGAAAAATATTTATCTGTAAAGAAATGTAAATATAAACTTACTATCTACATATTTATGCATATAAATATTTCGCGGAAAATATATCATCATCATGATCATCAGCCTATTGTAGTCCACTGCTGGACATAGACAAATATATATATTCGTTTTTATTTAACTTTTTCCATGCCACTTACTAACTACTTACTAAAATTATAACTTTATTCATTTTAACTTTAGCTAAATTGTATTTATTTATATTTTTTGATTTAAACTTTTTTTTATTTCAATACAAACCTATTTATATTAACTACTGCTTACGAAAGTCACAATAAATATTGGTTCTATATATATATATATAAGCAGCAAAGGTGAATTGAACAGACCTTTTCTCAATTAAAATTTTTCTTACATAGTAAAGGGAAACTTTGCAAATTCTTCAATTCTGTATGGGAAATTTATGAGTGCATAAATTGTAATTGAAAGGTAGGTAAGAAACGAGACAAATGGAAGGAAAGGGAGACTGTTTACGGGTGGATTAAGTGTAAGTAATAGCTCAAGGAAATCACACTCCTGTAACTCGGAACTAGCTGTTGTTTGGAAGTGCGAGGTCTCTGAAGCTTCCTCATTGATTTTATAAAAAAAACCTGTTCAATGAATACTTAATTTAAAACGTTAATTTGTCTGTCGGATTAATATTGTGGCAGAATTAATATGACGAGCCTGATAGTCTGGGTTAGTGAGCCTGTCTGCTAAGCCAGAGGTACTACTACTATACCTTTTGCCCGCGGCTCCACCCGCGTATCAGTTATCGTGCTAAAAACTATCCTTTGTCGTTGCCCGGGACTCGAACTATCTCTATACCAAAATGTTATCCAAATCGGTTCAGCATTTAAAGCGTGAAGAGGTAACAGACAGACAGATAGACAAAGGATAGACACACTTTCGCATTTATAATATTAGTATGGATTATAATAGTTACTAATTAAATTGGTTATAAGAACATTGTTTACAATCTCATTTTTTTTCAAACTACCTGCGTTTTACGTAAAGATAGAAATATAACAATATTAGTGCCATAAAATGATGAAAGGCAGTGTTTCTTTATATTTAAAGGTTACAAAATAACAAACTAAAACTGGTCACGTTCATTTTATTTAAAATAGTTGCCTCGTTAATCATGTTTAGGTTTTTTCCTGATGAGAGATCGATGAGCCAATGAGCCATGACCATTGAAAAAAATCTTATGTATGAATATTTAAGCAAATTTTAGAGGTTGTATTCTTATTCTCAATACATATTTATGGATTAGTAAGACTTAAAAACCCCGATTAAATGGCCAAACTAATTTAAAAGTAAAGAAGATTCCACTATCCATTTCACTGCTTCATCAGCAGACAGATAAATAATTTGTTTGACTTGTCTCAACTTAAATTCGAGGGTTTTTTTCTATGTTGGGGTTTATTCTGAAGAGTGCCAATACCCACCTATGGGTTCCATGATTATCCAAATCTTAAATACACAATTTTATTTCGTTAATATTCTTATTATCGAAATAAAATTGTGTATTTGAACATTTGTTTAGTTACAATTGAAGTTAATAAAAGCGTGTTAATTTAATAACAAACAGATTTACCCTCTCTCGTTATATCCAGACATTAGGCCAGTATTATACAGTCTGTCTAGACACAAGATATATTTGTTTCGAGTCGGGCTATTTAATAATGCAACCCTTTATACCGAATGCAGTTAGTTTGGCGTCGAGTTGATTCTTGTTAAATAATGATTTTTATTAGTCGTGTGGTTTTTTGAACAAAGTTCCTTATAGCGCGTTTTACGTTCTGAGCGGATAGGAGCGAGACCGAAAAATGTGTAACAAGACTTTTTTTCGACACTTATTGCGGAACTTCGTTCCGTCCGTTTTTACTTATAACGATTTTGTATTGCTTCTTGTTTTTTTTTCAATTCACAGATGTATGCGATAATGTTACTTAAAGAGGGATGAGTAGAAGATAGTGGTGTACTAGAGGACTTTCTTTCTAGGGTATACCCGAGTACTTTGCAGTAGACTCACATGGGACGTAACAACGTGTGGTTTTAGTTGGTTCGTGACCGGTAACGTGATGACCCATGCGGGTTTATACACGATAAAAAAAAAGCCGTGTGGTGTCGTGGGACACCCGATAGGAACGAAGTTGTGACGATCGAGTAAAACTGATTTGACACGATTTTAATTACAACGCCATCTATGAAAGCGGCTATTACCTACATATTAAAAACAATTAAAACAATTTATACATTGGTAAAATCTCCTTGCGAAATGATTTCCTATCTATTCGATAGATGGCGCTGAATGTCTGACAAGATGACACGAAAATAAAGAGCAAAAAGCCAACATCACGTGGTATTCCCAGGCGGTCACCCATCCAAGTACTAACCACGCCCGAGGTTGCTTAACTTCGGTGATCGGACGAGAACCGGTGTATTCAACATGGTATGGACGTAGGCGAACGTTAAAGCAAATTTAATGTATGGTATCCACAGTTAGACGTCAATTTATATTAAAAGTGTCGTGACAAATTTTCGTACGAATTTTTTCCGTCTAGCCCCCTTTCACAACGCGCGATAAGGAACTTCGTTCCAATAAGGGAGGTAGTAATTGTGTCGATAAGGCTTTTCTATTTCCTTTGGTGGCTTTCTAACGAAGAGACATCATTTAGAACGACAAAATATTCTCCAAATTATAGACTACGACAAAGACATAATCTAAGCTAATCTAATCTTTTGCCAGCCTCCGGCGTCGCATGCGCAAAGGTATTTATACCGTCCCTCGGGAACAATATTTTTTATTAACGAAAAATAAATAATCTACTATGTCATGTAATTTCATTATCATCGGATACCGTACTGATATACATACATACCGTATCTTCCACATACATACCAGATGTCATCCTTCATCACATCACACATTAACAGCCTGTAATACTCCACTGCTGGACATAGGTCTCTCCTTAGAAAGGAGATTTTGGCCTACTATACCACGCTGGCTAGACGGGTTGGTATAGGGTTTGTTTCAAGTTTTCTTTCTCTTTGCAGTGCGGTTGTCCGGCGTAGTTTGCTCCCTTAGTCGGCTCTTACGAGACCCACGGGATGAATAGGGGTGGTGACACTTCGTATTCTTAATTAGTTAAGGTTATAGGCTATATTACATCACGCTGCGACCCTTAGTAGGTAATCCTGTGGTTAATAGTTGTAGATAGAGAATGTGTTAAATATACTATAGTTTGATTACACAAACAGAACTTATTCTCATAACGCGTAAAATAAAATGTAAACAATTTTAACACGAATTTATTACATTTTATTTCACTCTTAAAGCAGAGTCATAACTAGTGATAATGAATTTTAATGCTTATTAATTTTATAAGTAGTTTTACCTTGTCTTACAGTCGACCGGTCATACAAGTAAGAGTGTTTCTAAAATTTTGAAGGAATATTTTGTTATCATTAAATTTGACGGCCTCTGTGGCGCGGCGATGGTGTTCGCGAGATTACTGCATCTTGGATAACGGGTTCGATTCCCGCTCTTTGGAATATATGTGTATTCATGAACATGTTTTTACGTTGATGTAGTATATAGATGTATTTAGAATCGCACCTTTTGTAGATAGAAGTTACGATATGTACTATTCTGTCCTCCCATAAACGTGTGCGAAATTTCATTATGATCGTTTGAGCAGTTTAACCCTCGAAGTGTAAAAAAATATTAAACAAACTGACTTTGGCATTTATAATATTAATTACGATAACTTTTAGCATATAGTATCACAATTTGAAAATAGACACAGAAACTTTGATAAGTATTCAATATCATGAAATAAAATCAATATATTACCATTATTATGCTTATAATAACATAAAGGTCGATCAAATCTACACCTACAATAATCTATTTAATCAATCAACCACCTATTGCTTAGAATGATGACAAAATATCAAAGAGGTTATAATTCCATCATGTGAAAATTCCAATTCTCAAGGGTGAAAATCGAATAATGAATTCAATTTTGCATAAGAGTAAGTTCAATTTCGTTTTTGCGACATTTTTGTAAACATTGGGGCTAAGAATTTGAAGATTACCCGTTGTTATTAATCGTTCGAGCACATAAAGCTGTCGCGTATTTACAAACAATATCGTCGTAATCACTAAACAGAAATAGAACTATTCACATTAAATCTTCAACTATAAATAGCTAATGCAACAATGAAGAAAGTTTACACGGGGCTATTGCGAAAGTATCTATGTGTATCAATATCAAGTACGTGTACTCGTGTAGGACTTACTCACTTACGAGTCACGTGTAAATCGATAGCGTGTGGGTAACCTTAGTAGCGACAAGTCACAGTACAGCTGATGTAAATTATTTGTAGTTTTCCATGTAGTGTTACAGTTTGGGACCAAAATAACAAACCATAGGAACCAGGCACACAGAAATTAGATTATAAAGCATTTGTGAGTTCGTGTTGGCAAACCACCGAATTTACCACTGATCAGAGTACTATGATTGCCAGGTACAACTTTGTATGTATATTTTAGCCTTGAAGTTTGCTAAATAACAACTACAGTTTGCATCAGCATTTAATTAGAAGTTTTGAACTTGCTCCTTGATTTTTAGCTTTCTTGATCTAACACTCGAATT